AATAACCATGATCTAAAAGATGAACTGGAACGTTTGCGAGAATTGTCTCCAAGCATTCAGATTCTTCAGCAAAAGGTTGAATCGTCAGAATATCAACTTTCTCTAATGGGGTCTCTCCGTCGTCAAGCTGCCGAATTGGAAACTGAAAATGCTGCGTTAAAAAAAGAAAAAGTCGAGTGGTATTTGTCACAAATTCATTCATTGATTTATCTCAAAGCCGAACAATATTGATTCTTTTAAAAAAACCATAGGACAAGTTATTTAGATCAGGAAAAAGACAAAATCAATGTTAACTCACCTTATAAACTCTGTAAAGAACTTGCGTCGAGACGGATTGAAATTAATATGCTTGAAGAAAAAGGACGCCGTCTAGAAGAACAAATAAAAGACAGGGATATGATAATTTCAGAAAATGAATGCAAAGTGGGTACATCATTTCTTTGCTGTCGTTGCTTTATACTTACTTTTTATGCTTGCTGATAATGCATTGTTCGTAAATTAGATTATACAGCTAAACAGCAAGTATAAATCTATGGAAAATAGGCTTACGAGCGAGCTTGAAGTATATAAAAGGGAGAAAAACTTGTTGCAGAAAGAAGTAGAAATGTTGACTGAAGCATTGGTTTGTGATTATCAGGAGGATTTTGCGTAACAATTAATATGTAATAACAATAAATCCACTTCTCGAACTAGAAATCATACGATAAAGAAGAGCAACACCTACAAACCAATTATAATGTGCAGAAAATTGAACGTATTCAAGTATTAGAAAACTTACTTGCAACGTACAAAGAAAAGCTCGAACAAGTATCAGCACAATCACATAATGATCTACAGCCAGAAGACCAAGCGAGTTCTTCTGAAATAAACTTTCGTACGGTTGAAGTTTTGCGTCGTAATGAAGAGTTGCAAGCAAGTTAGGTTTCATTATGTTATAAATTATAGATTTGGTTTCTTCTCTTATTTAACAAAATTTTATTACCAGTCATTTATGACCTGAAAAATGAAAATGTTAATCTGCAAAAAGAGATTACTTCTCTACAAATGCAGATCACTGTTCTTGAACAAAAGGATTTAAAAATACATTCGTCAGAATTGATTAAGCAAAACGAAATTTTACAAGAAAGTAAGTTTGGTTTGTTTTTTTTAAAGACAATTTCTATTTATGTTTTACTTAGAATAATTCGGTTATTGTCCTACTTGGTTCATAGCTATAAACGAACTCAAAAACGAGAATTTATCATTGCAAAAACATGCATCATCTCTCGATCAACAAGTTTTTGCTTTGGAGAAAGCAGTGGGGAGGGGCGAATATAATCGCGAAACAACTCGAGTATGTTTGAATTTAGAAATTTGCGTGTATTTTTGACAAATTGCATTGAATAATTTAATATCTTCTATGAAGGTTTTGGAATTGAAAGATAATCCTTCGTCGAGAGATTATGCTATTCGTCAAAGCACTTTAGATGCATTAAAAACCGAAAATAGTCAGCTTTTAGCTAAATTAAAAGAATTGCAGAAAATGCTCGAAAACAATCACGCAACACAAGTAGAAACGATAGATGGTACTTATAGTAACATCATCGATGTAATACCGACTCAAAGCTTTACAAATCTTGAAAATGAGAATAAACAACTTTTAGAACAGATCGCAGAAAAAGAAAAGAGAATATCAAGGTTAAAAGAGGTTAGTGTCGTTATTTATTTTAATAAATAGCAGTGTATATCTTAATGTTATGACCCAGTATTGTGTTCTAAATTTATTTAAAATTCATAAGGTTTGGAAAACTAAGGCTCAAGAATATAGAGAGGCCGTGTATAGCCTCCTTGGTTATAAGTTTGATTTTCTTGAAAACGGCCGAGTTCGTTTAACATCCATGTACTCCGAACAAGATGATCAATCGTTCGTTTTTACTTCAGATGATAATGATTGTGGTACTATGCAATTAGTTGGAGGAAATTCAGAATTCATAAAGAGCTTAGATGATCTTATAAAATTCTGGGTAGTTGAACGTAGTTCAATACCGTGTTTTTTGAGTAGTCTCACTATGAAACTATTCGAAAAAACGACATCCGGGCCTGTCGGTAGGGACATGGATATGAGTATATGTAGTACAGTAAATCAAGATAACATAGCCGAATAAGCTAATATTTCACGCATATTCAGTGGTTTATTAATGTTAACTATTATTTCGTCTTATATATATATATGCAAGTTTTAATTGCATTCTTTTTTCCAATAATTGGTAAAATATATCGTTTTTTTATATGGCCAAATATACTGGATTTTCCACAATTCCTTCATTTTGTGCTAAATTGATAATATAAAATGAAACTATATACAATTTACTATCCTATAAAAATATTAGTCACAATAAAATTGCCACCAAAAAACTAAATCGCATTTGTTATATATCTCTCGGATATATATATAGAATATATACATACTTTTGTGGTAACTGGGTTGCTTGAGCTATACACTAAAATTTTAACAAACTAAACCCAAGTTTACTTTTTTTTTTTGTTTTTTTTTTAATGATTTCAAACCTGCTTTAACCCACCCGAAATAGAAATAAAAAAGTTTTTTTTAGAAAAAAGGAAATGTTACAGAGTCGAGAAAAGATTGGATAATGGGTATGAAATGTTATATGATGCAAGGAAAGATGAAAAATATATAAAACATGTGAAATATTTTTGTACATGGGAATAAAAAATTAACTTTATCCCTTGCCCTCCTGTTTTTTAAAATATTTATAAATAATTCGCTAGAGGGATTAAATATAAAAAGCCGATTATTTTTTTTCTTTTTTTCTCCTTTTTTTTCCTTTTTTTCGTTTTTTTTTGTTTTTTTTTTCCCTTTTTTTTTTCTTTTTTTTTTTAAACAAATCCTAAAGGTCATAATTACAACTCACAAGAATATCAAGTTCATCAATATCACAAAACTACCAAAAATTATTAGCAAGATCATCTCTCTTTTTGACATGCAATATTCCTAGAAAATTTTTATAGACCCACCCATTTAACGGGAAAAATAAAGCTTAATCTTAATATTTCAACGTTAAATGAAGAGTTCCATCTTGTCCACCCTGAACTTCCACTTCCATGTCTTGCTCATCATCAATTTGATGAATTGATTCATCGTCAAGACGAACAGTTAGATTACGTTTAGTGCATCTAATTACATTCGTAATATTCTGACCTTGAAGATCAATCTTTTCAGAGAGTTTATCGGTAAGCTTTAATATAAGATCTTGTACAGTGAGATGATTGAGATAAACAGCACGATACGCGGATTCACCAGGTAATTTAACATAAATGCAAAGAACTAGAATTGATCAAAACAATTGTTAAAGGATATTAAAAAAATTTTTTTGTTTTTTTGAAGACTGACTTACCAGCACGACGTTTCCGTAAATGTGGAATATACGTTGGATCACAGTCCAAAGGTTCCAAGAAGTCGGGACCCATGGAAAATCTTCTACGTTTACCCAGCTGAAGAGTCATGAGTTCACCTCCTTCTACGTCCGGATCAAGGTTGTTCAACGTCTCGGACAAGCTTTGAACTTCTTCATCATCAGATGCATCATTATTTCCAGTGATCTCAGTAAATACGGTCATAGCATTTGGAGGTGCATACATCATGATCATAGGTGATGTAGGTTCTTGTGATGATTTACCTAAAAAATTTTTCTTAATAATAAGTGGCAAATCATAACATCTTTTATTATTAATATAATAAACAAATACCCCTCATTTTTTCAACCATCTTCTCAAGGTGCTTTTGATCATCTTTATTTTTGCGTTCAGCACCCTTAAATTGAAATAATTTAGTGAAACAACCCAAAATTATACAGTAAGTTACAGATGATTACTTGTGTCAAATACCTTATCTCTAAAAAGCTTAACTTTTGCGAAGGCCTTCTCGATAGTGTTGCTAGTTGCACCATTTTCAGATTTAGTCTCTATATGTATTCTTAGTGGAATGCCTTTCACGCCCTTTATCCGTGAAAAATCCGTGGAAAGGCAGTTAAAGCGCACAAAGATCTTCGCACCCTTTTTACCATTCCATCGAAATTGTACTCTATCAAAAGTTTTAGTTTCTACACTACTGATTCCAGTTGAGGCTGCTTTGTCTATAAATAAAGGATCATAAGTAAAAAGAGGTTAAACGTATATAAATTATGCTAATTATAATAAAAAATGAATACCAATATCAATAGCCCTGGCAGTTTTTGGAGAAGCTTGTTGTGTCAACCAAAAGCTCCAATAAGTGGAAGCCATTTTACGATGAGCGTCATCGTGAAACATAACTTTAACGATGCTTGTAAATTCTCCATCATATTTATCTTGATCTTGCAAACATACACCATAGTATTGTCCTAAATTACATGTTATTATATATTTTATAATGAATCGAATTAATATAAGTATTATCTTATAAGTTAAAATTACGATTATTTACCTTTATTAAGGTACGTCATAGGTGTCTCATCAATGCGTTGAGCAGCCGCTGTGGGAGCCTCAAGGATTATTTCAAATCGTAAATTGCTATAATAAAGATTTATTGAATTATTAATAGCTCTGATCAAATAAGTTTAATTAAAAGATACTTACGACGAACTTGGAGGAATGCTGGCAGGTGGAGATGGCATGCTCACGGAAGTGCCGTTACTACTATAGTTTGAAACATCTTGATTCGGTTGTTGAGCATGTTCAAGAGGAGGGGAATGATGGTACGCAGTGCTTGTAGCATTTCCCTGATGATGCATATGATGCGACATATGATAATCGTTACCGTTATTACCACCGTTTAAGGAAGAGATTGGACTAAGAGATGGTTGTGATGATACAGGAACGGGACTCACGGACGGAAGAGTTGTTGAAGGCATTAATTGATTATGATTCATTAAAGGAGGATTAGGATGGGAATCGTGAATATCAGTTTTATAGACCGGAGGAGGAGGAGGAGGACTGCAAGTTTTTGAAACATTATTAATCAAACAGGATATTCGCGGAAAATTTGGTCGGTAAAACGTAAAGGTACTAACAATGTTGTCGGAGAAAATACTTCTTGGTGATATCTGATACTAGATACACCAAAGGGTAATGGGGTAAGGAAAAAATCTTGTATCTGTAGGTGTATGCTAAGAAAAAATTGATATGATATAGAGTTAAAATCATTTCACTTACGCGTGAGAAGGATACCCTCCAGCAGGGCCAAAATGTGGATGGAATCCGCCATAGTTTGAATGCATATGTGGAGCTACTGGTAACATTAGGTTACTTCAAGTTCGATATATATATATATAAATATTTACATATTTTTTAAGATTTTAGATTAGGAAAATTTTTGAAAGATATTTTTAAAAAAAGAGGGAGTTTAAAAGTTTTTACCTGTTATCCGGATATGGCATAATATAATGAATTCTAACGACTATTTTTGCGTTAAAAAAAAAAAATAACAAGAATCGTCGCTTCGTCACAAGTCGAAAAAATCGTAAAATCGTAAATCAAGTAAGAGAGACGTTTTATTATTATTATTATTTATTTTATTTTATTTTTTTATTTTTTATTTTATTTTTTTTTAATTTTTTTTTTTGAGACGGCTACGTCAGAAAATTTTACGTCGTTGATGCGTTAAAAGTAGTCGTTGGTTGCAGAGACCAGGAATATTAAGATAAAGAGAAACCTCGCACGATAAAAAGTGGTCAGTGCGAAGACGTAAAAAAACAAGAGCTAGAAATTCAAGAGAGTAAAACACGAGAGTGTTTTTGCTCGATTGAAAAATCAGTGTAGCCGGTAAAAAGCCAGTGTACGGAGCCCTGTTTATTAAGGTTGTTTTTGGATTGAAATTGAGTACAAGAAAAAAAAAATACAGCCAATCAAATGAGACCAAGACTATAAATGTATAAATGTACAAATAGATTTTATATATTTGGTAGTCTAAAAATATTGACTAAAATACAATAAATAATTGCAAATCAATTAAGAGAACATCTACAATTCAACACGCAATATATATATATAAATTAGAAAAAAAAAAAAAAAGATATATATATATATTTATTATTTATAAGACTTGAATGCCTGGATCGGAAAGGACAGGAATTGGATCAAGAACCCTTTTTTTTAAAAAAAAATTGAGGGCTCTGATAGTACTGTATATCTCATTTTAACTTTATATTTCATTTTAACTTAGAAACTCAGTTTGGGCAGTGTTTGATATTTAATGACGGAATGATTCAAAATGTTTACAATCAGTGGCGCATTTTTAGCGAATCCCTTGCGAAAAAGAAAGTGGCAGTGTAGGACTTGCTTGGTCACGTTACGTAAAATTTTGTGACGTTTTTTTTTTTGAAAATTTGAGATTTCCCGGAGAAACTGGTTTTCAATAGAACATGAAAGGAATCCGTACAATTGGGGAATAGATTTATAAGCCTGCGAATGTATGCGTGATGAAAATGGATTAACTGGAAAGATATACGCGTTTTGGTTTTGGTTTGGCAATTCCAATTGGATTGTAGCGTGTATAATAAATTATACAGTATATTTTATATTGGATAATATATTTTATATTACGTATATTGCATATATATTTTTCTTTTAAAAATATTAGATATTATATAATTTAGATTTAGATTTTTTATATTTTAGGTATATGCTAGTGAAAATAACACATAATAAACAAATTATAGGTAAAGGATATAAATAGTAATGTACCTAACGTCCAATTTCCGAAGCATCATTAATCCAATAACTACGTTAAGTACGTACGTACGTACGATGTTCTGTACGTAAATTTATTGTTCTTTACAAACATAGAATATATGCTAGTTTAGGCCAACATATATTCCTGATAAAATAATATAGTACCTGCTGATATGCTTAAAATAAGATCATTTATGCATACAAACAAATAAAAAGCCTAAAGTGAGAATGTTTAGTAAATTCTTGTTCAAAATCGTGGGTCAAAAAAAGAAACGCTAAAAATTTTTTGTTTTCCTTTTAGTTTGCGCCAATTTCATGAACACCGAGTCAAGTGGCTTTTTTATTTTATTTTATTTTATTTTATCTTATCTTATTTTATTTTTATTTCTATTTTTATTATTATTATTATTACTATTTTTTTTTTTATTGATGATTTTATATATTCCCTCTATTTAAGCCAGAATGAAATTACGAATAAAGGTAAACCTTTTATGACATGAAAATTTAAAAAATGGATAAATTAAAATTTACTTA